TTTTTTTTTTTTTTTTTTCCTACCTGACCTCACTGCAGATGCAGAGGAGTGGGGTGATGAAATATATATTTGTTCAAGTTACGTTTTATTAACGTCACACAAACTAGAAATTCCTGGGAAGGGGGAAGCTCAGCTGAGGAATTATCTCCATCAGACTGGCATGTCTGCGGGCATTGTCCTGGTTTCTAGTTGAAGGAGGAGGACTAGACTGCAGTTTGCAGTGACAGCGCCGGGCATACTGGCTGGGTTATATAAGGAAGGTAGCCACCTGGGAGTCTGGAAGAAGGCCAGCAAGCATCCTCGGTGGCCTCTGCCTTGGCCTCTCTTGATGGACTGTAACCTGTAAGCTAAAATACACCCTCTCCTCCCCAAGGTGCTTTTGGTCTTGGTGTTTAGCACAGTAAGAGGTACATACTTGGACAATGTACAGTTAGAATGTGCACATGGCAAGAGGTTCCTTGGGCCTTGCTGGTTGGGCAGACAGTCTCAAGCTCTAAAGGGTCCATGCCTAGGCCCCCGTGTGAAAAAGAATCTTTAAACTTAGCAAGTTGGCGGGGCCAGAGATAATGATTTTATGCTAATCACATATTCTCTTTGTTTCAAGTAGGGCTGTTGTCTTGAATAGTATTCCACTCCTAGTTCATGGCCAACTCTTCCCTATGGCTCAGAGCTGTGTTAAATATTAATAAGTATTAAAATTGGCTACCATTATAGTAACTGCCTTTTTAACGTTAGGATGTATGAGGTTGCTAGGGTTTTAAATGCAACATAGCTGTTTAGATTTCTAGTCACAAAGGTTTGAAGAGGCAGTTGAGAAGCAAGCAGTGTTAAGGTTAGTGAGGACAGCTGGAGTCTTTCTCATTCCTTGGCTCACCACCTTTTTCTTGCACAGGTTACTGCAGAAACAATAGTTTAAGGAAATACTGAGCATCTTTCAAGGGTTAGGCACCAGATGTATGTAGCTGTTGCTTTGTTCAAAGAGTTAATTTGCATTTTAAGGAAAGAAGATTTGGATTCTTAATATATTAAGTATCTTATGCACTTAAAATTTTATTTTTTTGGATGATAACCTAAAAGAATCATTTAAAAATATATTTATTTAATGTATATGTGTGTGCCTGAGCGTCTGTCCATGTACCATGTGTGTATGGGAACTAGAGAAGGTCAGAAGTGGTGTTCCATCCTTTAAAACTGGGGTTAGAAGTGGTTGTGAGCCACCATATGGGTGCTGGAAATCGAATCTGGGTCCTCTGGAAGAGTAGCCAGTGCTCATAGCCTCTGAGCCACCTCTCCAGCCCTAATAATATAATAAACTCAAATTCACTTGAAGTTCCCAAGTGAAACTTACCCATACCTTGTAATTATCATGTATATCTTCTTGAGCAGCTTGATTTCTGTTGTCAGAAATAGAGAAAGTAAAAAAAAAAAAAAAAAAAATCAAATTCACCCTTCCCTAAACAATTAGCCTCTTAATACCCTGTTGTAGGGCACTCTAGCATTTGAACAGAATCGCTCTATAAAGTGGAGAGGAAGCTTTGTGCTTTAAAAATGTGATGAAGAAGCATCTGGAGGGCTAGAAATGTCTCACTGGTAGCACAGGGTGGTGCTGGGAAATTCCTGTCATTTTTCCTGGCCCTGTGTTACCTTCAGAGCTAAATATGAACAGATAAGAACAGATAATGAAGATTTGCAAGAATCCCCATTAAGTTACATATCTGTTTTAACAAGTCTTATTGCTTATGGCTACACAAAACTTGAATACACTCAGCCTTGCATATTCCATTGTGGAGTCTAGCAATCTTTTTTGGCATTCAAGGACTCTTTTCCCACCCCTCGATGCCTTTAAAGCAACAAAAGCAGAAACCTACTGTTCTGCATGCCCTTTGACTCCCTTGTGCAGTTCACTAGAGAGAAGACTGCAGAAATCGGAGCCACAGGATGAGTTTCATCCTTTTAGCTCAGCTAGCGTTTTGGTATGTTTTAAACAGAAATTGGAATTCATATGAAGTGGTGTCAGAAAGCTCTGTGCATTTATAAACGCTCACTCCTGCAAGTTAAAAACCCGGTTCATAATTCCCACCTTGGGTCTTGGGGGCCACTTTTTAATCATTTCTCTCTGCTAATTTTGGTGTCACCCTCATTTCTTTTTAAACGATTCATTTTGAGCAAATTTGTAAATGGCCCTGATGTGTTCTACAATTTAGTCAATTACTGTTTCAGCCTGCAAGCCTCCTGGGGAACGGAACATACATGGCCTGAAGGTACGAATTTCAATAATTGTTTCAGTAAAGTTAGATGGATTTGTAACGCTGTGTTCTACTTATTGAAATGTCAAATAAAACTGCACTTTCTCAAACTCTGACAAGCAATCTTTACCCCCCTTATTTTTAGTGTTGGGGGTGGAAGGGCACATCTGTATTTGCTTACAATGTGTATGTACTTGGATCCTGGGCCCTTGGTGCTATATTTTTCAATTATTTGGAGTTGTTTTGTTAGTCAGTTTTTCCAGGATGATCCTGGGATCTCTTCTCCACAAAGATTTATTTGAGTGAGAACATGGCCTTCATTTTGGAGATTAATTAAGCACATAAGCACACAGGGTGCCCTTCCTCTTCTCTCAGCATATTTATGCTTGAAACACATATCTAGTTAATGTCTTTTCATTGTTCTGCATGTTTTAAATTCTGGATTTCTGCTTAAGGCTTTACATCTGAAAGAAAAGCTGGCTATTTTATTAGGCTCAAGTGTTTTATAATTAATTACTTGCACCTCATTTTCTAGTGAACGAGAGGCAGTTGTAGAGCTGGAAGGGGGTGGCATCCTGAGGTTTGCTACTAACCGCTACACACAAGCTTAACGTGCTTCCATGGGTAGCCTGTTTCTATGTTGTTCTGGGTAGCAAGCTGAGGTTTCTACCCCTCTGCTCCTCCTTTTTTTCAGCACCGTTTAAGTATTTGAACAATGACAGGACAGGGACAGTGGATTATGTAATACATGGGTTGAACAGTTCTGTAACCTAGATACTGAATACATGCCAATGTGGGTCTGTCTAGCAACAAGCTAATTAACCTTCATAGTGAGATGAGACGTTGTATGGTGAATTATAGGTTAATTAGAACTGTGTCCTCGGAACACAAGGTTGATCAAACTTCTCTCTTATTTATAGGTGAATACTCGGGCTGGTCCATCTCAGCATACCAGCCCTGTGGTTTCAGATTCACTCCCAAGCAATAGGTAAGGACAAACAAAGGAAGTGTGTCCTGCTCAGATCCTGGGGGGATGGGGAGGGGAGAGTGCTGGGAAGAGGCTTGTGTACCACTTGTCTTTTCTATAAGGTAGAAAGTGGAGGTAGCTGTAAAGGAAAGTTGACTAGCCAGCTAGCTTGCTGCATATTAGCTTGAGAGAAAAGATTTAATAAAGAAAGATGAAATTAGAGGCAGATGAGATGGCTCAGTTGATAGAGTGCCGGCCATGCAAGCATGGCAGCCTGCATTTGGATTCCCAGCACCCATTTTAGAATCGCTCTATAAAGTGGAGGAAGCTTTGTGCTTTAAACATGTGATGAAGAAGCATCTGGAGGGCTAGGAATGTCTCACTGGTAGCACAGGGTGGTGCACCCATCTAAAATCCAGATGTGGCATCACATGTTTGTGAGGAGCCTGAGACATCCGTGAGCTGCAAGCTCAGTGAGAAGTTCTACTACAAAAGACAAGACTCTGAGCCATGGCGGAAGACACACTGGCTTTCACATGTGCACAGATATGTGTACATATACCCCCCACACCTACACCACACACTCATGCACAATAAACAAATAATAGAGAGACAAAAGCTGAAACTGACATGTTAAACTATTAATTTTGTTCTAGAGTAGTTTTCCCTGAGTCTCCAAATTCTACAGCCTGTTCTGTACCTGTTTCAAGTCGTGATCCAGTTAGTTACACGCTGTGTGATACTTGTTCAGTCTGGCTTGCTTGCCCATCTCTTGACAGGGTTATTATCCTCTGGCGTCTTTACCAGGCAGAGTCAGGAAAAGAGTCAGATGGTGACATTTAACTTGACTGGCAGTGCTGCTCATTAATGGCATCTTTGGTTGTCCAGGAGATAAAAACTGCTGTAATAGGAAGATTGTTTTTGTTAATTTGTGCTAGCATCACCCCACACTGGGACAGATCTTAAGCCTGAACTTAACCGCCACACCATGGCTCCAATCAGGTGTTCAGTTAGCTTGCCAGTAAGCAGCCTGCTCCTTCACTTGTGATCCTGGAAGGCGGTTGCTCAGTGCTGTAGTCACAGTGGTGGCTGAGGAGCTGACAGATCCAGGAGACCCTTCTTCCGGCCTGCACTGAAGGTTCCTGACCTTTGGCCTTCAGTCAGTGTGTGCATAGCCTTTTGTGGGGCAAGGAGCAGTTTAGGTTTCAATTTGCCCTCTCACCTTTCTGTCTTCCTTTACCCACAGTCTTTGCCTGTGAGTTTCTGAGTCGAGTCTGGCTTCCAGTTTTAGAGGCTGAAAGTCCAGCCAGCCTGGCCCAGGCTGGGATGAGGGTTCTTTGTTGGCCCCTGTCCTCATGGTGGGAACACCTGCAGGAGTGATTGCCTCCTAGTAACGGAACCACAGGGAGACTCTCTGCTCCTACGGCCCTTTTTATTTTATATGTATGAGTATTTGCTTGAATGTATGAATATATAACACATGTGTGCCCAGGATACTCGGAGGCCAGAACTATGGAATTATGAGCCTCTACCTGGGAGCTGGGAACCAAATAGGCATTCTCTGTAAGAGCACCAAGTACTCTTAACCACTGAGCCAGCTCTCAGCCTGTATTTTTTCTTTAATTTTTAAGACTGTTGCTGTATAGCCTAGATAGGCCTCATTCCCCTACCCTATCCTTCCAGGAGCTAGAGTTATTGATGTGTACCACCACACCATCTTCACAACCCCACTTGACCCTCCTCTAAGCTCCTCCTCCAAAGCTGCTTCTCTGAATATTTTACTGTGGTATCAGTGCCTACCCACTAACCTTCCAGCTGACAACACAGGCTCTGAAGGGTGTCTCTTTAATGGTTGATCCCATCTTAGAGTACAGCTAGCTAACTAGTCACCAGCGTATTATCTGCCTGGTCTTGTGGGCCAGGTTTTTGCTTCTCCACAGAGGGCTTTGCATTCACTTTGTTTCATACTGCCTGGACATGTGAGCCATGGCCCTGGAAGCCTGAGGGTGGGACTGCATGTTCACAGAGCAAGAAGGCAGAACATCTCACTGGTACCCCTGATTCCAGAAAAGGTGGTGTGCATTCAAACAGCAAGTGAGCCCTGGCGAAGGGCAAGGCTTTTCCGTGGTGTTTAAGGGTACACTTTCATTATGACACTAAAAAGCCAGATGGAGTTGAAAAGATTTCCAGTCGTAGAAGCAGTGTTATTTTCCAGTCTTCCACAGGCATTGTAGCTGCAAGTGAGAATTAGCTTGCTGTAAAAACTGTCGTGTCTCTTCGTGAATTATAGTAAGAGTCTTAGATTGGATAGAACTTCACCACCTGATTGTCTCACGGTTTCATGCCAGCATCTTCACGTTGGGATATGGCAGCCTCCTAGATAGTTAGGATGGTGGTTCCTATCATGGGAAGAATGTTAATTGAAAAGTCCTGCGGGTGTTTTAATATGTCACCCTACATTGGCCATGTTCAGTGCCCCGGGTTGATAACTAATCAGCAGGTATTTATTGAGTGCCTCTTACTCATTAGTTGCTGTCCTAGGAATATGATATGGCAATAGTTATGTGAAGGAAGCAAATGCATAAAGAGAAACAGTAGAGTCAGGAACGTGCTTCCATTTAAACTGAGTACTCAGAGCTGGCTCCTTGGGGAATGTAATGCTTCCATCTAGAGCTGATACACAAGGAGGACCAAGTTATATCACAGTAAAGACATTCCAGTTAGAAAGAGATGCCTAAGGAAAGGCCCTGAGGTGAAGGAGCTCAGCGTGCTTGTCAGTTGGCAGGAGCACAAGGAGAGGTAATGGGTTAGGGCAGGGGTGTAGGATGCTAGGGAGAACACCTCAAGCGGTGGGAAGCAAGGATGTAGACAGGAGGAGGGGCTTGGAAGGCCCATCGGTGCCTTCCTTTCTTATCCTGGCCTGAAGAGCCAGAGAGGACTCTGATAGCAGAGGGCAAGCCAGCCCGCATTTGTAGAAATCCTTCCTGTGGGGAGCAGGGAGAGGGAAGGCACAGCCTTATTCTTGCTCTCCTTTGATGCTTGACTGCTGTCCTTTGACAAACAGATACCCAGGTTCTTCCTGACAACCCTGGGCTAGGGATGGACTTCCCGGGCCGAGGCTGCCCTTTGTTTTTATCAGGTATATCTTAAGAGGTTCTTTTTTTTTTTTTTTTTTTCAGCTGGCATTTGTCACCCTTCAGTACCCATTTGTCAAGATTGAGCTTTCCCCCCAGAATGTGGCTGTTCCCTCTCTCCCCACCTTCGGCCGCCTTCTCTCTCACACCTGCTCCTCATCCTTCCAGCAGCCTGCACCTTCCTAGAGCTCTGCATTTGCAGCAATCCTGTGGCTGCAAAGATGCTTCAGGGAATTCCCCACAGTCTCCTGTGGGTCTCCTGTACCTTAGCTAAGACAGTCTTGCCAATTGTATTACTCGGCTCCTCTTCACCATCATGGGATACCCAACATGATGAGATAGCCTACTCTGGTAGGATAAAAAGTTTACTTAACTCACAGTTTGAGGGATTGAAGCTCCAATGGCCCAAGACAGGCTGTGGTAATGACTCTTTGTGACTGTGTTTCCTCATTCAGAGTGACATACAGGGAACCAGAGAGAGTGAGACTGGGTTCTGAGATTCCTTTTGAGGTCACACCTCCAATTGACATAAGTACCTCCCCCTGGAATCGTTTCAAGGCCAATACCCTCAACATTGACACACTGAGGACCCAGTCAGTCTCTTAACATAACGACTCTTCGGGAATAAGCCAACTCCAAACTGGAACCTTGTGCTTTTGCCCTCAGGATGGGTCTTGAGTGGTGGTGTTTGCATATAGGTGCTCTGTGCACTTCCGCCTTGCTGGTGAACATGTGGCACCTCTCACCACTGAGCCTGTGCATCTGTCTGTTGCTGCCTCATTCTCTTTCCCTAACTTCCTTCTCAGTTTGGCTAATCTTGACCATCTTTGAGGGCCAAATTATCTTCTGAAAGCTGTTCTTGATTGCCACCCACCCATCACACTAGAGTGGGTGGCCCTGTGTGGATTGCTGTACCCTGCCCCTCTTCTTTCGACTGTAGCAGTGAGCACATTGGTCCTTCAGTGCTCTGTGGGGACAGTGACTGCAGCCTGGCCTGAGGCATAGCCCTGCATGCTTGTTGAATGAGTGAGTGGGTAGCCGGTAGCTGTGTAAACTTGCATCGTGGTCAGCTCTCCCTCAGATTCAGTCTCCCAACTTACTCTGTTTTTGTGACATCACCTCTGGTCTCATTACTTTGTATTTCTTTTTAAATTCTGAGATAGCATCTTGTAGTGTAGACCAGACATGCCTAGAACTCACCATGCAATCCATGTTGATCTTGAAATCACAGCAATCTTCCCCCCTCCATCTTCTGAGTGCTGGGATTGTGGATACGAGCAACCGTGCCCAACTCTACCTTAACAAAAACTGTGTATGGGTGTATGTGCACCATGTGCATGCAAGCACCTGTGGAGCCCAGAGGAGCCTCAGGTGCCCTGGAACTGCAGTTCCAGGTGGTTAGACAGAGGTTATACACAGAGTGGGTGGGTGCTGGGAGTGGAGCCAGGTCCTCTCAAGAGCAGCCAGTGCTCTCAACCCCTGAGCATCTCGCTAGCCCATGGCCCTGTGTTTTTATTCTTTTACTCTTTGGATAGATAGCTCAGTGTCTTTCCTCAAGTATAGCCAGGTTACAATTAGGTGCATTTAAATTTTAAAGCATTTTAAAAAGAGGTTTTGGTAACTCAAGTTCTTAAAAACAAATGAAATATTGAATAATCAGGCTACAAAACAAATTTCCTAGGTGAAGTTTTTTGTTGTTGTTGTTGTTGTTGTTTTTTCATGCTGAGACTTGTTTTTTGGCATAGGTGAATGACCATTTGTTAGACTGAGCTTATTAACACATGGTTTCCTAGGTCATAATCACTGATTCGAATCGCACTGCCAATGCCGCTTTAAACAGCTTGGCCTTCTTCTTCTATAAAATTAGGATGATTAAGCTCTTTGCCATCCACTGCTAGTGTAAGATTGATGAAGCTGTGTTAAGGAATCACATTTTCTTTCTTGGATGAAAGACATTTTTTAAGTGCCATGAATTAAAATATTATTATTTAAGCTTATGACATAATGGACTATCTGTGGGGAGATCATAGCAGAGGCTTTGGTTGTTTGGAAGTCATTTATGGAAATACAAAGATTTAAATATTTTCTAGACAAGTGTGTGTGTGCATAAGTGATGGTCTGAATGTGGACAAGATCTGTGTCTTTTCTCCGTAAGTTAGGGGTAATAACTGTACATAAAGGAGGTAGTCCCTGTGAGGGCTGCCTCAGGAGGATGTGCTGTAGCCTGTCCTATTGCTCAGCATTCTGATTCGAGCTGCCATGACCATGTTAGTAATTGGACTGGGTTTGAGGCAGCTGTTCACTTTTTGGTATGTACTGACTACATCTTTAGTTCCAGTCTACAAAATTCTTGACTGTTCCCCTGGGCAGATTGGACTCTGGAGGTTGTTATCAGCCGAGAATCCTTAGGTGAAGGCCTTTCTTAGAGAGTTTTAAAAAGTAGGAACTGAGGCCCATTAGTCTGTGTGGGACCACAGCAGAATTGTAAGGAGTGTGTAGAGAAAATGATCTGGGCTGAGCGACCAGTTGAGTCTGAGATCGTCTCAAGTGTTATGTATTAGAGATGTCGTGTGGAATGCCAGTGTGGTTCAGGTTAGGGCCTGATCCCATTTGCTTTCTGATGTGTTTCGCTCGGTATGTCTTTCCGTGGTACTGTGTACCCGCCACAGTAGCAGTGACCACCATTTCTTGAACACTTAGCACTTGGCTGCCCAGGGGCAAGGAAGACCACAATAGAATGCGCTGAGGTCTGTGTACTCAGGGAGCGTTCAGTCTCAGGTGAGAGTGTGGGAGAAAAAAGAACCACACTGGTAATGACAAAGGGCGTCGTTTATCTGTCAGAGAGAGCATGGAGCGGACAGTTAAGGATGTTGCTGGTGAGCTCTACATTTTACAGTCTAGAATAGCAGTTTGGGAGATGCCATTTTAAAAAAAGATCCGTCATCTGTCTGCCTACCTGCCTATCTGTTTATCAGCTGTCTGTCTGCCTGCCTATCTATCTGCAATCAATCTATCGATTGATCTATTTATCTGTGTACCAGTGTTTTAACTGCTTGTACAATGTCTATGCATCATGTACATGGCAGTGCCTGCAGAGGCCAGAAGAGGGCGCCAGACCCCCCCCGCCCCCCCCCCCCCCCCCCCCCCCCCCCCCCCCGACCTGAAGTTTAAGACAGTTGTGATTCTCCATGTCGGAGCTGGGAACCAAACCTAGGTCTTTTGAAAGAACAGCTAGTCCTCTTAACCACTGAGACATCTTTCCAGCCTGGGAGGTGCTCCTTTATATCCCTTAATGCTTAGTGGGCTGGCTGTGGAGAGGCTTGAGAACTTCAGAGCTTCAGACAGCCATCCCTCTTTCTTCAGCATTTTGACCAAAAAGCACTAAACCATCTGCAGAAATGTTTGTATAATGTGTTATCTTCTGCTCTTGTAACAAATATCTGAGGTAATCTGCTAATAGGAGGAAAGGTTTATTGTGGTTCACAGTGTAGACAGTTTTAGTCCACATTTGGCTTTCACAGATTTCTGCCTGATACTAAGATGCCATTTCATAGTGGGACCATATGCAACCTTTCCAGGAGGAGAGGTAATAGAACCCAGGTCTCATAGCCACTGACAATGGCTACTGTGTGTTTGTTCCCAGGAAATCCAGTGTGTCATAACTCTTATTTGTAGTCAGAGACCAGAGCGTAACCCATATGTTTTTTGACATTTGAAGTTCTGTTATCTGTCATCTGGGAACGTTCTGAGAAGGTGTTCAGTATTTTGTGCATCAGGTGTAAAACCACACAAACTCATCATGGAGTTGCTTCCGTTCCTCTGTATAGTCTGCTTCCACTCTCTGAAGACTCACCAGGGCTTCTGTCCTCCATGATGTCTTTGGCGTTCTACCAGTTACTTAGAATAGGAACAACAACAAAAGAAAAGCCTCTTATACAGTGAAGGAGAACAGTCTGTACCTCAAAGAACAGGTATATTTCAGTCTGGATTAATTATTATTATTATTAATTATTAGATAAGTTCTCACAATGCTTAGCTGGCCTCAAACTCCTTATGTAGCTGAGGATGACCTTGAACTACTTGCTGTTCCTCTTGCTTTCTGGAATTATAGGTGTGTGCCACTCACCACACCCTCTTTACCTGGTTCCTGATCAACCCCGGGGCCTGTTTCGTGCTAAGCAAGCAATCTGTTGCCTGAGCCACATCTTCAACCCTTGGTCTGGAATTTGCCGTGGTGTTGAGAGGTGTTGGTGACCTTGCCACTGACCTATCTTTTCTTTGCAGCTTGAAGAAGTCCTCGGCTGAACTGAGAAAGATACTGGCTAATGGCCAGGTAGGTATTGTTGCATACTGTACTTCAGAATATTACTCTGTGGCTGTCCAGAGGGTAGCCATAGTAAGTATTAAATGATGAAGAGTCTGCGCTTTTCTTGTCATAAATGAATGCCACAGCTTAATTTGATTGGCAGAACAATCTTCAGCATGTTTTCCAACCTGAGCTAATGGGTTTCACTCCAGCAGATTGAGGCAGTGTGCACACACCACACCGCCACCTCAGTTTAAAAAAGTTAATCAGTTCTGAACAAGTCGTCAACCTGTGGGTTGTTGACAGTGCCCTGTGTTTTGAATGACTGTTTCTTTCATTATCTTTGGAGACAAAAGGGAAAACTGTTACTTTCCAGCCTTAGCTCCTCTTTTGTCCAGGGACCAATACTGGCTGTGGGATTGAGGCCGGGTAGGGTAGACCATTACACACGAGGCCCTGGGCTTCAGGGAACCTTGGTTTGCCTCGTTGATGGGCCATCTGAAACTGAATGACCTAACCCATCCAGGGAAGGACAAACATGCCTGCAAGCCACTTATTTTTCACTAATTTTGATTCAAGTATACTACTTCTGAAGTACTATAGTGCCTTTAAACATTCACTGGTAAATGAAGCTACCTATGGGGCCTGCAATTCCTCAGTAGCAACATAAACGCGTTTTAATGTTTGGTACAGTGAAGCCCTTTGATAGCCTTGCAGGCAGCGCCTGTCCATTGCCATCAAGCCTGCCTATTAGGCTCTATTGACTGAGACATCTGTGTCACCGCAAATAAAAGACTCTTATTGATTTTCTTAACTGCTGTTCACTTCCGTCCATGTTTCGAAGGCTGAGATCTTAATTATCTCAGATGCTTATTCAGTGCCTTCACACGCCGACCTCTCCAAGCCTCATTGGCATTTCATGAATCAAAGACTTGTAGTGGAGCATGTCAAGAGGACAAAGATGGGTCCTCATGCTCATCCTTTAATAGCACCTGTAACGCTGTGCCTGATAGATGTGCGTGTCCTAAAACAGGGCGTGTGGAAGTACTTCTGGAAGTTTGGCACACAGTCTTTTGAATAGTTAACAAAAAATTGAGTTGATCTGGTTCTGACAGCCTGTCAGCCAGTATGTGTGAACTCTAGTCCTTGAATGTTCAGTGTACTGTGGAGGAGGCTCTGGCGTAGTGTTGTGCCTAGTGTAATCCTGGTAGTCTCAAATTCTGTGGTAGACAGGCTGTGCTTGCTAGGGTTCAAACCCCAGCTCCTCGCACATGGGGCTCTACTCTCAGCCTCCAGACGTTTGACTGCATTAGCCCATGTCTTTGACCTTGAAGCAGCCGAAGGTTTGTTTAGACCAAGGTCTGCACCTGTGTCCCCTGTGCCGGTCATGTGTGTAGAGCCAGTGTGAACAAAGCCGAAATATGAGCTCAGGCCATTTACATAGCTTCAGTGTGGTTACATTCTAATACTAATTACAACTCATGTATAAGTCACTGTGTTCTTCAGCTGGAAAATATATTTCAAAGTAGACATAAATTAAGGAGTTTTAAGTACATTTATGCAACCTAGGCAATGGAAAATAGCCTGTCTTATAGTCCTCTTTCTGAAATGAAAAACACTTTCTTCATGCTATATGCATACACACACACACACACACACGTACACACACACACACACACACACACACGCATACACACCAGCATTCTGATATGCCCCTCATTTTTTGACAACAAACACATCCCCACAAATATCATAGTAGTGTCAGTTATGAGGGTGTCTGCAGTGGGAGATGAGCCCGACAATGGTTTTTAACACTTATGTTTATTGCTTTCTCTGGGAAAGTGCTAATGCTGAAGTCAACATTATGACAGTCTCGTCTTATTTTTAAGAATAAGCTTATTTTATGTTTGCGTTTACTTTAATAAGTAAAATAAATAAATAGAAACGAGAGCCAGGGTGTTGCTCCTCTTTGCGCTTCCCCGACGCCTGCTATAACTAAGCCCTCCTTTGGTGCTGTGAGGAGCCGAGGGTGAGAGTGCATTGTGGAGGAGTCCTGCAGATGACATGGGCGTCGGTAACCTCGGGGCTGAACACCAACCATTTGATATGGAAGATGGAAGTCACATTTAACGATACTTGAACAGTTGATTTTATTTTAGTGCTAGTTTTATTTTACTGGTTTAAGCTCTCAAGCATTAATAATGATTTGCCTTCCCACTAGCCTCCACTTAGATTTCATAAGGAATTCATATTAATCATTAACAGAAAGGGACATGATTCTTCAAGATAATCAAATATTGACATGTTAGAAATAGCTTTCTGCCTGGGTTCATTGATATAGGTTATGTGATATAAATATTTATTTCTTTTCTGTCACTCAGAGTAAATGCCACCAATTGATTCAGCATTGATAGAGTGTCAACAGTTCATAAGAAACATTTGACTGGCTTGTGTTTTCCGATTAGTCTCTGCTCTATAAAGTGGGATTTACTAAATCTCCCCAATTGTCTGCTCATGGAGTGTGACGCCTTCTGAAAGCATTATTGCTTCGATTTGTGAAGCGAAGGTCTCGTCTGGACTCTGTTCTGTCAGGCCTTTACATATAAAATAGAATTAATTGAGCATTTTTATTTTAATGATTTATAAGAGTCACATGCTTATTCTCTTTAACACAGGCAGACAATAAACAAAAAACATATTCTTTGCTAATCCATAATTAAATTCCTTTTCATTGTCCCCATTAATTTCATTAATATGTTAAATCAAGAACCACTTAAAAGTTTACCTTTAGTCTTTGGGATGGAGCTGTTTCTGTTTTTGTTTTTGTTTTTGTTTTTTCTGTTACCACATTATGGTGGAAGATTCCAGCTTAATAAATAAAGCAAAAGATATTTGGGGTCTGTTTTATTGAGAGCTATGAATCAGACTTGCTGTGCTATCTTTTGGGGTATGTTTTCTCCACTCAGAGTCAATCGTGGCATTGTCTGTCAAATGCTGGCCATGCATTTGAAGCTGCCTGGAAAGTTCAGAGGATTTTATAAGACAGCTAGTTGTCACTCCACAGGTCTGTGTCTTTACCTCTGTGTCTCTAAAGTAGTTTCTGTTCCTTTTGCTCTTTGGTTCTGTAGAGAGAGTGATTGTATTTCTTGCTCCTGGTAAGCTCAGGAGCACTCTGGGAAGTCACGCTGCAGCCAGTCCCTTTCCTGCCACACCTTTGTTGCTTCCAGAACTTGAGATGCCTTTAGAAAAGCCCTAACCTGGGAGGTAGGAATCCACTGTAAAAACCCAGTCAGTGTCAGCACATACAAGTCACCAGTTCTAAATGGCTCACTCAGCTCCTTTGTGCAGACTGAGTGTAAATCAGAAGTGCAGAAACCCTCTTCTTGCCTGACCTCAGTGGTGGCTGCTGTCTCTGCTTCTTTAAGCAGCATGAAGGTACTGACAGTCATGTGCTGTCTTGTTTGTAGCTATGTAGCAATCATAACTCCTGTGGCTTTTTCTTCCTCTCCCCTCATATCTGTTATTTTCCTTCTTTTTTGCATTTTAAAGTTAAAACAAGGAAATCAAGTATAATTAAAAACTGGCATCTTTATCAAATCTTTACAATTTGAAAATCTACATGGTGTGTGTATGTGTTAATAGTAGTGCACGCATGTATGTGCACATAAGGAGGTCAAAGGTTGACTTTAAGTGTCCTCTCGCTGGCCGTTTTATGTTTTGAGACAGGATCTCTCACTGAACCAAGAGCTTGCTATTTTGGTTAGCCTGTTAGCCAGCAAACTGTGGAGAGCCACCTGCCCCTGCCCCTGCCTCTGGGGTTGCAGGTATATGCCTCCATGCCCAATTTTTATGTGGGTGCTGAAGATCGGAACTCATGCACATGCTTACATAGCAGGCGTTTTGTTCAGCCATCCCCTGCCCCTGGAAATATGTGTTTTGGTTTTTAAATTTTCTTTCTTAAAAATAACTGATACTGATCAAAGAGCAGGCAACCAAGTTCATATCAGAGATGGTCTCTTCTCCCCTTGCTAGGGAACCCACATGGAGACTGAGCTACCCATGGGCTACATTTGAGCAGGAGGTCTAAGTCCTCTCCCTTAATGGACCTTGATTGATTCATCAGTCTCTGAAAGTCTCCCTGGGCCCAGATTTTTTTTTTTTTTTTTTTTTTTTTTTTTTTTTTTTTTTTTTTTTTTTGGCTTTCTTGGTCTCCTTATAGAGATCTTGTCCCCTCCAGGTCCTTCTAACCCTCTCTTCTTCCTATGCTCTGCCCAAACTTTGCCTGTGAGTCTCCTCATCTGCTTTGATCCCATGCTGGATAGAGTCTTTCAGAGGACATCTGTGGTAGGCTCCCATCCTGTTTCTTCTGTTCTACCGCTTCTGGTGTCCATCCTGTTTGCCTTCTGAATGAGAATTAAACATCTTCCCTAGGGTCCTCCTTGTTGCTTAGTTTCTTTAGGTCTGTAGATTTTAGTATGTCTATCCTTTATTATATGGCTGTTATCTGCTTGTAAGTTAGTATATACCATGCATATCTTTCTGCTTGTGGGGTGACCTAGCCCGCCCCCAGGGGAAAAGAATCCAGGCAGTCCTGATGAGACCTGATAGACTAGGGTCAGACAGTAGGGGAGTAAAACTTCCCCTGTCAGTGGATTAGGGGAAAAGGATGGTGGAGGGAGGGTGAAGAGGGAGGGAAGGTGGGACAGGAGGAGATGAAGGAGGGGGCTATTTATTTACTATTTACAATTTATTTACTTTGTAAATAAATTGTAAATAGTAATAATAATTGTAATAAGTAAAATTTATTTTGAAAATTGCCCTTTGGTCAGTGGTTTGCCTCTCTGCACAGTGACCACTGGCAGAAAGCATGTCCCCATCTGCACCGGAGACGGATCGCTGATGGCTAACGTTGAACTAGAGTACTTATTGAAAATTTGTATAATGAAAATTGGGTTAAATGGTCTTAAAATGCTATAAAACTGTGGTTTTTACGATACTTGGTCCTATCATACTTCCATGAAATTACTCTGTAGGTTTATAAATCCTACCTTCATTTCTTAGTAAACACAATCCCTATGCTTCATTTTGAAAAGTTGATTTAATGTGCTTATCTAAATATAATGGCAAAAATGCTATGAGCTGCCTTTTGTAGTTTTATGTATGAAATCTTAACGATGTCTTTTAAATTCATTTCATAAGCTCTGCTTCAATAGCTTTATTTTTACAGTATGGTATACTATGATAGCCATGTACCTATAGTCCCAAATTCAGGAGACCGAGACCAAGGGAAAAAATATCACTTGACCCTAGGACTTCAACAAGTAAATGAGGCTCATACTTAAAAACATGGGAAGTATTTATATGCCATAAAACAGAAAATTCATAAGCAAACAGAAAAGAAATCTGATAGAGACACGTACATATGTATTAAATTATTTATTTATTGAGACAGGGTCTTATTAGATAGCCCTGTATACCCTCTAACTCACTATGTAGACCAGGCTGACCTTAAACTCATAGTGATCCTCCTGCCTCTGCCTCCCTAGTGCTGGGACTAAAGGAGTATGCTACCATGCCTGGCAGTTTTATTTATTCTTACGTGTGTGTGTGTGTATGTGTGTGTGTGTGTGTGTGTCTCTATGTATACCATTTGCATGTAGTACCCACAGAGGCCAGAAGAAGCATCAGATTCCTCTGAAACTAGAGGCACAGGGAGTTGTGTGCCTCACAGTGTGGCTTTGGGAACGGAACCATGTCCTCTGTAAGAGCAGCAAGTGTTCTTGACCACTGAGCCACCTCTCCAGCCATTGGTATTTCATAATATTACCAAAAACAAAAACAACAACAACAACAACAACAACAACAACAAATCATTGTTTGGCAAAGACCTGCATACCTTGAAAGAGTATAGACTTTTTGATCATTTCTTGTTTATGTAGTCTTTTACAGTAACATGCTTTTAGAACCTACAGTTCAGAACCACTTCTATGTTTACGATCTTACGTAATCTTCCTCATTATCTGGGAGAATTCCTTAATTTTTGCACTCACTCACGTACACCTTCGTCATGATGCTCGTAGCTGTCCTCTGATGATGTAAACCTACATTATTTCTAATGAGGTTGACAAATGGAAATACTGGCCACTCCTCTGAGTCCTGTTATGATTGTGGGTGTAAATGGTAAGAGACACCTATACTTGCCCTTTGCTTGTGGGGAGGACTCCATCACAAATATCAGTCCTCCCAGAACCCAGACCCTTTGTGCTATGTGCTTATATCCCAGTTGTGCTTTGATCCCAGTGCCACCAAGTCAGAATTTGTGGACTTGACCAAGCGAAATTTCTCTCTCCTGGAGTGAGAATGTATCTTGTTAGGCAAGGTAACGGTGCAAATTAGTCTGTTGGGGGCACTTTTAGATTACCTAGAGGAATGCTCTCAGGGAATTGCTTGGTGGCAGTTCGTACCTGCCGGTAGACACTGCAGTTTATGAACCCTTCATCAATCAAAGTGAAGCAAGTGGCAGTCCTGCTGCCTTAGCATCTCAGGTCCCTTTCTGGCGGCTGTTCTTAATGCTGTTGGAAAAGGTGCCATTTAAGTCCAGAGTAATGTGGCTTTCTTTCCTTCATGCCACCTCTTTTCTACAGGGTAAAATATCATTTTATTACATTAGTAGTTTAAAGGTCATGGAGAACAGAATTTTCCTCAAATAGGGAAGCAGTTGGCAATTTTTCTGACTTGTCTGTCAGTATTTTTTTTCAACTGACCTTAAATATAGCAATTAGCTGATTGTAAATTGCATCAATCAGGTGGTACAACAATTAGATCTGGTGCTGAATTGACCCTTACACATGAGTGTCGATACTCTTGTAGGAACTGGCAGAATGGCAGGGAAGCTGCCGCTTTTACTTGCAGCAAACCCTCAGTTATCACAGTCTTCTGAAGCTTCAGCTTTAGAGATGCATGAAAGAAAACTACTTCCCTTGATAAATGAAGCCCTTGCTTTATTCAGTTGGTGGGAGTTTAGAACATAGCAAGTATTTAAAGCTTTACCATAATAATGGTTCAAAAGCAAACAATTATTTTCCACGTGATATTGAATTAGGAACTCCATCCATTTTCTGTCCAATGGAAGGCAGTGCAGTTCCCTGGAAATTGATCTTTTTTTTTTTTTTTTTTTTTTTTTTTTTTTTTTTTTTTTTTTTTTTTGTTTTTTTTTTTTTTTTTTTTTTTTTTTTTTTTTTTTTTTTTTTTTTTTAAGGGCTTACTTTCTCCGAGCTTATTTATGTGGAAAACAATACCTTTATTAAATCTACTTCCTGAATAAAGTTGGCAGTTAATTTTCATGCAACAGTATCAGTGCCTAAAGAATTACTGAATATATCAAATGGAGTCTAACTAGCCTTGAAAACATACGATAAATGATTATTTAGGGAGTCCCTAAAAGACTTAAAAACATTACTTTGTGGGTACCAACGTAATTTACCTGCCATTCACAAATACAAACGAGTGGTGTTTTTGGTGTAAGTTTTGTAGAACTTAGAAAATATGCATGCTGTCTTATACATTAACTTACAGGAGTGGCATTAATTGATATCACATACATATTCTGTGTGCGTCCTAGAGGCTTGTGGTTTGGCATTTACCAGTTGGCATAAATATGATTTGTACTCAGCTATTGCTATGTCCTTATCACTTGCAAACAACAACAACAAAGCTGTTTCTACTCTAGGAAAATGATAAACATTATTCAGTTAGTTTGTTCAGTGTTAATTATAGGGTCACCTGAGGAGTTTTCAGGGACTGGTTTATTGACACAGCATGCATAGATTACTGGGTGTGTGTGTGTGTGTGTGTGAGAGAGAGAGAGAGAGAGAGAGAGCACGCACGCGAGAGAGAGAGAGAGAGAGAGAGAGAGAGAGAGAGCGCACGCCGGGAGAGAGAGAGAGAGAGCGCACGCCGGGCTTAGCTTTGGTCCTGTGTGTGTCACTGCTTGGCATTAGTTCAGTGCCATGGTGGAGACCATTTTCCTATCAGTATCTCTGGCCTGACCCTTCTGAGCTATGTTATATCATTCCATTTTGACACCTTTTATCAAACTTTAATGAAATGACCCAGGCAAACAAATTGTCATTAAACTTTCCATCACTTTGTCCCTTGGTATCGTCTTTTATAAATTGGACAGCAAATGTTGTATTGATCCTCTGGTTCCCGCAGCTGAACTTGGAATGACCCAGCCTGCTTGTTGTTTATGGCCCAGAGTTGCTTTCCTTGACATTTCCATCCGCAGCATGACACCCTTTCTGTTTTTCTTTCTTTCCTGTGGAGATGAATGAACAAGACATACGGTATCGAGACACCCTTGGTCATGGCAACGGAGGCACAGTCTATAAGTGAGTAGTCACTTTGTTTAAACTTTCTGTCCGCTTTGCCAGGTGCTGGGACCCAGGTACCTCATGGCAAAGGTTTTATGCCACCACCACTGCTTAGATTTTATTTCCATGTTGACACCAGAATTCTGCAAGGCAGCTTCTATTTTCTCGGGAATTGCCTGAAAATGCATTTATATTGCCTTTTTAATATTTGTGAGTCTGCATCTCTCCTGGGTGGGTGGTTGCTAGTCTGCCGTTAGCAAGTGTGCCTTTTTACTGGCCTGAAGTTTACGCATGTTTCTCTTTCCTCTTTAACACCGTTACTTATTGTGATTTTTTTTGAAACTTGTTCTAACCTTGTGCTGGTCCCTCGCCTGTTTACAGTTATGCCCAGTGGAAGCCAGACTTTATGAACACCATTGCTCTGCCCTGTGTTGACACTGTTATTAAAAAGCCTTCTTTCTGTTGTGTTCCCCGCTCTCTCCTCACCCCACTCGCCCCAGAGAATTTCTACACGCATTGATGAATATGTTAAGTTAGGAAACTCTCCCAAATTCCAGTTGCAGCTATCTTACCCTAATGGAGTGTTCATTTTCATATTAAAAAATGCTAAGCATAAAAAACCAGTTCTCTCGATAGGGAAGTCCCTCTCACGGCAGTGCAAAGTTTAAACTACATAGTGTAATATGTGGCACTTAATAGTCTGCAGTGGTGTATGAAAAATATCCCACCAGGAATTAACAAATCCATCCTCTGAAGAAAGCCCTCAGGGCAGCAGAGCTTTCCTCCACACACACCAGCCCCGCACTTGTGCTGTGCTTTTACCGTAGATATTGTAATAGTAAAAATAATTGGGGTTATAAAAGAATTAATTTGTATTCTGATTGGGTCGTCATGATCCCAGCACATCTTTGTGTATTGATGCTGCCTTGGCATTGGATATGGAGTGAGGAAGTCCTTCAAGTCATCTAATCTCATCACTCAGTCTCCCAGGTGCAGTCAGGATGTGAGGCCTCCCCCAAAACATAGTTCATTAAGAACTTAAGCCAAGCTTGGCATCATGTGCACACCTTCAATCCCAGCAACTCAGGAGCCAGAGGTAAGTGGATCTCTGTGAGTTCCAGGCCAGCCTGGTCTACATAACAAGTTCCAGGACAGCCAGAGGTACAGTGAAACCCTGTTTCTATACCAACCAGCCAAACAAACAAACAAACAAACGGTTAGCTATCCTAGTCCTCAGGATGCTGGGACAGGTGGATTGTCAGAGTTTGCGGGTAGCATGGGTTTGATGGTAAGTTGATGCTGGTAATCGCCGCATACGCTATAGTATATGACCATGTCTAAAAAAAATTTTTTTTTAATAAAACAAAAGAAGAGAATGTTTGCTCATCTTTTAGATTATTTTTCCTGCGCATGATTTGATAAAGTGAATTGTTGGTCTGAAATTAGGACCTGCCACAGCAAGAGTCAGAAACAAATATGCTTTGGTGATTATAATTGAACCCAGGACCCAGGGTTCCTTAGCTGCACCTCTAGTACAGGTGTTAAAATTTTAATCCTCTGTGTAATTGTAATACAAGTATGAAAAAGAAGGGAGTGTATGGGGACGTACAGATAACTCGCCTGTTTCCCCAATGGAAGATTAAACATGAAACTGTTGTTTCAAAAATATTGTAATCATGGTGAAATATAAAATTTGTCATCATAACCACTTGATACATTTTGTGTTTTTGAGACAAAGTCTCACTGTGTTGCCCTGGCTGGCCTGGAACTTGTTATATAGCCCAGGATGGCCTGTAACTCACAGAGATCCACCTGCCTCAGCCTTCTGAGGGCTGGGATTAAGAGTGTGCACCACCATGCCTAGCTTTGTAAGCATTTTTAATGTGTGGTTTGGTGGCATTTGGTACATTGCTGTTCCAAAGCTGCCATCAGTCCCCTCGTCTGCAGAGCTCTTACCTTGTGGAGCTCTCCCACTAAATTTCCTTGCTTAGCCCTTTGCGCTTGTTTCTAGCAACAAAGCTGGGCTAGAAATCACTGGGACTGACATGTCCAAGGGACATTTCAAAATGTATGTGTCACAAGTTCCTTTAGCTGCACGCCATTGTCAGCTGTTCCTAAGGGTTCATTTAGCTGCCATCATCCACCCTCACGTGAGTCTCAGGGTTACTCTTTGGACAACAGTTGCTTCTAGAAGGGAAATGATGTGATGATGGACTACTTTATTTAATTAGTCGATTTCTCATAAAAGTTTCCATTGTTGCCTGTACTATTCTGTTGCTTGTATATTTGTTTTGAAACTGGATCTTACCACATTGCCCAGCCTGGTGCTGAATTCCCTGGTTCAAGCAACCCTCTTGCCTCAGCTCCCTAAATACAGACATGTGTTACTGCAGTTGCTCCATATCTGGTTCATAAGAAGAGAGTATAAAGATACCCAAGTGCACAACCACTATGGTGGATGACTGTGCCTCATTTCCGGGCTTGAGTGTGCAGCGTCCTTGTGACCGTGGTTTTCAGTTCTCACAGAGCAGTGCTGCAGTCATCAAGAGCACAGAGTTTACCTTACAGAAGTCTCTAAGGAACACTGTTCTATGTGCTGTGATTGGGTTTCTCATACACCAGGTTTACCCTAATAGTGTTTACTATAAAAATTGTGGGTTTGTTTTTCAGAAAAAAAAAAAAAAAAAGATTACATTAGGGGTTGTGCTACATAAACGAGATGAAGAAATATTGGAAAATCCCTCACTGGTAACAAAACTGCCTAATGAGTCTATTACATTTTTTCTTAGGAAGTATAATAAAGCTAATATATACAGAGTATATACACATGAGACGTCTAATCTTCAGGCTTTTTGCTTTGCTTGTTGGGATGGTGTAAATTTCCAGTGATGTATGTCATTATTTAATGTTGGCACATTTTCATCATTCCAAGCTGGCCCTAGACATCTGGGCCTGGTGGGAGTGTGGCTTCTGTGGCTTCTCCTGTCTTAAACTGGGCCATTGTTGGTGTTTTCCTAAGCACATGGTTTTAGTTGAGATTTTTTGTATTTCTAATTTGAGTCATAAAGGAAATTGGGAAGAGAATGTAGGTTCACTTTCATTACTCCTTACAAAAAGCCCCATAAATCTCTGAAAACCAATTTCAACAGGAAAGACATGTTTTGTTTCCTGATCCACAATGTACTTCAAAAATGCTGTAGAAATAGCAGGCAGTGTGTGTTGTAGGTGAGTACGAGGGCGCTAAGTTTGAATTCTGTTGGGGTATCTATCTTTTCAGAGCACTGCACATTGAGATGAGATGCTCTACGGAATGCCGCGCCCTATGACGGGCACTTTTCCTTGGTGGCTGCTGGTGGTGCTAGTACTGGCAGCAGAAACTTTGTTCACACCCTCGTTTTCTACCTTTCATGGCTATGGAGCTCACTTTGAGAACATCTCTAAAAACAATCTCAGAATCATAGTGGGGCTTAATTAACTTGGAGAAGTCTTCAGCATGCTGCATGTTACATTTTTTCCTATTTTCTAATTACCCCATGGATTAGACATTATATCACATTATTGCACTATGAGTTTCTGAAAGCTGCACGGTATTTTCTCTTGTCTCACAGTTTGTTTTTAGGTTGTCACAGGATGGCTCGTGTAGTGTAAATCTGCGTGCTACTAGAAAGTAAGGGGACTCCAGTTTGTGTAGTCATTCATTGGTCAAGCCAGAACTCAAGGCAGCTGCTCCTTGCCTTTCTTTCTTTTTTTTTTTTCCCCTCTGTGCTTTTCCCCTGGGCAGTGTCTGTTGTGTCCCTTTGTATTTCCTAGCATGCAGTGTTGAGGGCTGAATGGTGCTTCTTGCCTGAAATAAGAATGGGGGTGGGGTTTACTCAAGGTTTCCTGTCTCTTTAGCTCAGAGGCTGCGTAATTGGTTTAGAACACTCACCAAGAATTGAGAAGCGGGTTTCCAGGCTAAGGACGCCTTTGTAAATGATTAGTTCTCTTGTAGGTGTTAAGACTTTGATGATTCTGTATCTCCTGGCCCAGCACACTAGTTCCTGTCCCCTTCTCTTGGATAGAGTGTGGCACTGAAATCAGAGTGATTGGCAGTCGTGGTTGCTGTGGACACGCCCTGTGGTTCCAGAGCTGCCAATCAGGCCCTGCTTTGGCTGGAGCTGCTGGACTACCGCTTCAAAAGTGGAGGGTGTTGGAATTTTGGGATTACACTGGGCTGCCGTTAGCTAACAGTCACCCGAGTCACCAGAGGCTCATCATTTCCAGTTGTTTGTCTGTTTCTTAATGCAGATTCTTTAAGCTAAGCCTTAGATTGTTAATATTTTGATCATGAGTTCCTGTCTCTAGGTGATAGAAATTAGTAGTGAATTTCCTATGTCCAGTTCCTTCCTATAGTACAGTGAAGAATCTAGTCTGGATATTGAGTAAAATTTTCAGTGATAAAATAGGCAGCGTATATTCTGCCCAGATGGTGTTTGAATATATATCATTATTCAAGATTTTTATCTAGAGACAATGAGAAGAAGAATAATTCTCAAATTACTCTTTCTGTTGCTTTCTGTTATTTCATTTATTTTAAGTGATATTCATTAGGCACTGGGGTGGGAATAGTCCTTGGAGGGAGTAGCAAAGATCATGTGAGTTCCTAAAGTCATCTCTTACCCCTGTGATCTGACTATACAACCAACTAAAATAAATGTGTGCTTAGAAGCTGGGGTTCTATAATTGCAGTAATGTTATTTATTTACTGAAAAACAGAATTTCTGATGGGCATTTACATAAAACACATGAGTTATCTAATTAACTGCTGTTTTGTAGGCAAAATGTTTCAAAACCATAGGATTCTAAAAAACATAACAAAACTGGCTTTGATGGTGAGAATGCAGTCATGTGCTGAAGGGCACTGTCTTGATTGTCAGCAGGTCATATGGATGAAAGTGGTCCATGGTGACATGGTAATCATGTAGAACAGTGATTCTCAACCTGTGAATTGTGACCCATTCGAAGGCCAGATGACCCTT